TATTATTATTATTAAAGTAGACATTAAGTCTCAAAAGATTGCATTCTACAAAGGATTTGCATCAATAAGCACCTAAAGATTCTGGACTGCAACACAAAAAGCAGTGCTGATTACATCTGCATTGGAAAGATAGAACTTATAAAGTGGGGACACACACATCTGTATACATATGTTTGGGGGCAATGCTTAGCTAAGTCTCCTAGATTCACATTTACAGACCTTCAAATGTTTGGGTGTTTATAACCCTAAAGTGGTCCCTCACTGCAAACACCATTTTGCTTGCCATAGAACTGGCCCTGTTGTAGCAAACTGCAAGGCAGTTTTAACAAAATAGGCCATCACAGCAAGCTGCAACTGCAAAAAATAAATTACTAAACACAGCTCTGCAACATTTATCCTCGCTCATATCTCTCTTCACCTTTCAGACAGCTATACCAATCCAGATATCCCACAGGCCTCCTTAAGATGGAAAGAATGTACACTGTACTGCTAATGTATCAGTCATACTTGTTACTGTACTCCAGTGTTTGCATCTTCTTCCTTTACATGGCTGTTGACCTACAGAACATTCACCATGGGCCATCATGTTATTTTCTCAGAATTCTAAAGAGGAATCAACCCAGCATTCCAAGTCTCATAAAGTGAATGCTGTAAGAAAGCACAAGACTTTACAACTTTTCCCTTAGAGAGAAATTCAACTGTTTATCCTTTATAAATCACTGGACTCTTTTGTCATCATTCAGAAAATAACGGCTACAGTATAACATGACTGCAAGGCAGACTTTTAAGGATATAATTCATGGATCCCAGAGAGATCTGATCAAGTAGCTTCTGAATTACTCCCTCAGGATCCTGTTTTAGCAGCTGATTTCCCAAGGGTTGTTCTTATTAAGAACTGCACAATATGGATTATCATAAAGTGAAAACTATTTTAATCAATCACTCAGCTTTATGAAAGTGCTTTTGGTTTCAGAGTGAAGGAGAGCCCGTTAAGACTCCCAAGTGATGAGAACTTTAAAGTACTGTAGTAGAATAAAGCTTGCCCTGCCAGCTAGTGTCGCAATATGTCAAATAAGAACACCAAAAAGGGAAGATTCAGGAATACTGAGTGATTTTGCAACTTAAAACACTACACTCCCAATTTGCACACACAAAGAACAGGTGACATGACAGCCTTTGTTTTATTTTGAACCCCCTCCTTGTGCTATTCCTTAATCGTGGCCAACTCAATACATGAAGCAATTTCCACATACAGGTATAAACTTTTGCAGGCTCTTGGAAAATGTTACATGGTATGTGACTGTGTGCATATGTGTTAAGAGTTTTGCAGGAGTCGGCAAAAAGGAAAAAGCTGAATTCTGTAAGCTACAACTGTCCAGTCAGCCACATGACAGCACAGGTAATGACCTAATCTGGAGACCAATACTTGCAACTGTTGTGCAGAAGAATGAGTTTCAACAGAAAAACTGACACCTGCTGGAATCCTTTCCATTATACATGCATACTGCAAGGTCCGGAGCCCTACCATTCTTTGTATCTTGTCACATATGGCATATTACATATACACAAGGAGTTCAGGTCATTTCTCTATGATTATTTCATCCCAATGTGAGTTCTGCAGAATATACCAAAATAGCTTTTACAAATCCTGAAATCACACTCATGGGCTGCTTTAGTTAAAATAAATCGTGTCTCACATAACTAGAGCAGAAACCAAAATCCTCAGTGCAAACAAAACCAACATGCACACACAGTTAGCTTAATACCTGCATTTCTACAAGGCCCTGACCAATTTCTTCTATGATCTGACCATTTCCCAACATCTCTCTTCACCTCTATTACAATAATGAGAATGAGCACATCTCCCTACACACTGCAATCACATTAACCACAGTCCTGTTTATGTTAGTGTAAAGTGCCTACATTCTGATTTGAGGGACAAGGAATAAAGAATCGCATTTTTCATAAAACATTTTCCCAGTTCCCAGAGAATGTTCTGTAGATGTGCTGCATTCTTTCAGATTCTTTACAAGTTGTGCTACATTCCTGCAGATTTCAAAGCAGGAATAATGGAAGGCACAAGTCAAAAATTGTCTTTTGTATGTCTGTGTGTGGTTATTGCAAGCTTTCAAAACTACAGCAATGTGGTCCTCTTGCAAAAGCAAGCATAGTTTCTCTTCCTTTCTATATATGAAAAAAGGTACTCATATCCATCCCAAAATATGAATCCACGTTTCACAGCAGATTATACCCACTAGCCACAGGGTTTACGTGATCCTTCTTTATGCCTGGATGAGAACAGACTTGAGAACACCACACAAGTTATTTGGAACGCTCCACTATGCCTGCCAAGGGGCAATTTTTTTTTCCAGGCCAGGCTGTTCATCCTCACAATTTCTTCTTATTGGGCCCTCCATGGCTGCTGGTTTGACCCAGCCTAGGGACCCCATCGCTTGCTAGGCTGGCTGCAACGGGACTAAAGTGCAAAGGCAGGACTGGTGGCGACCTGATCAGCTTCTAAGCTTGCGCTCTGAAAGGGAAAATGGCATGGAGGGGGCCGAGTGCTCAAGACCCCTGTGGGGCTCCAATCAGGAGAGACATAAGGCGAGGCAGGTACCGATGGCTTAGCTTCGAGTGCTGGACAGGCTGAGGGCTCTGGCAAGAGAATGAGAAAGGGTCGGTCCCAAATCTCTTCAGCTCCTTGGCCTCAATACAGGGAAGGCGCGGGTTTCTAAGGGCTGCTGCATCCGCGAAGGGTATAGTTGGCGCCGCCGTTGTTATCCCAATATTCGCCTTGCTGGTTGCGGTAACAGATGGCGAAATGCACGGCCGTGCCCTCTTGCAGCCCAGGAGGAAGGCAGAGGGAGAACTGGTAGCGCTCCATGGGGCAGGAGGAATCCGCGACATATGCATCGGGGAGCGGCGGCGGCAGCGGTATAGCGGGCGAGTCCAGGAAGGAGAGCCACTCGTTGAAAGTGTAGCGCACCGTCACCTCCTTGGGCCCGGGGCAGCTCAGGACCCTCACCACGCCGCGCACGTCCGTGGGCACCCCTGCCAGCGCCATCCCCGCCACTTCCTCCAGGCACACTTGCTGCGACCGCAGCCGCTCCGCGTCGGGCGCCCTTCCCGCCACCAGCTGGAGCGCCTGAGGCAGCGATTCCCGCTGTTGCTGCTGCTGCTGGAGCGAGCGAGGAAAGGCCGAGAGCAGGGGCGCGCAGGCACCGAGCTCCGCCAGGGCGGCGCTGAACTCCTCCAGGTCTTTCTGGCGCATGGGGAAGCTCTGCAGGCGGGAGAGGACGGCGGGCGGCACCTGCGGCTCCTCGGCGGCGCTGAAGTGCTTGACGCTGGCCAGGCACAAGCCGAGCGAGTCGGCGAACTGCACCCGCTTCTTGCACTTGGTGCAACACCCGCCGGCGCCCACCCGGGACGCACCGTCGTCCTCGTCGTCGCCGTCCGCTTCATCGCCGGCTCCCTGGCTCCGCCGCTGCGTGGAGAAGAGCCGCGCCGCGGCCAAGGACGGGCTGGCCGGCAGCGAAAGGGACCGGCCGCGGCGGCGGCGGCGCAACTCGAGCAGCTCCTCCTCGCCTTTCGCTCCTGCCTGGTGCGCTTCTCCTACGGCTTTGCCGCTGGTCGTCGTCGTCGTGCCCCCTTCCTCCTCCTCCTCCTCCTCCTCTTCTCCCTGGTCCTCGTCGTCGTCTTCCTCCTCCTCCTCCTCCCCGCCACCACCTCGCCATGGCGGGACCGAAGCAGCCTCCTCTTGCGGCTGGTGCTCCCCGAAGGGAGCTAACAGCTGCCCCAAGCCCAGCACCGCGGCGCCTCGGCTCTCCATGGCATGACGCCTGCCGCCTCCCTCACGGACTCCAGCTCCCTCGGAAGGGGCGCGGAGAGCCCGACGCTTTCCGGGGTTCCATCCGAAACTGCGCGCGCGGGGGGGGGGATGTCTCTCCGCTGGCGTTCAGAGCAAGGTCATTTTCACCTCACGCCGAGGCTGGCGCTGGCAGAAGCCCCTTTGTGCGGGAAGGGGGCGCGCCCGCTGCTCCTCGCCTCCCTGCGCGCCTCCCTCGCGGGGCAAAAAAATGGGGCGGGACGGAACCTCCCACAGGAACCCGTAAGAATAGACATTCGCCACAGGGGGAGAGGCACGTAGCCGCGTCTCTGGCAAACTGGAGCGGGCCGGCGCTCCTTCCTCTCTGCCTTCGGGCTGGGTTGCTAGGAGGAGCTCGTCCCTTCCAACCCACCCAGAAAGGAGAGGGGACGAAAACCTCGGGGAAGCGGCGCACACCCACTCCCGACCGACTCGGGCTGGGCGTCGGCTGAGAAGGGCCTCCGAGGCAGCTCTCGCCACGCCCACCTTCGTGTTTTCCCTTAAGTGGCATTCCTGGCGCTGTAAATATTGTTTGGGATCCAGCGCTAGGGTATACGCACGCCCCTGAAGGGGAAATGAGCTGTGAGAAAGCGCCTCTCTTCGCCCCAGGAAGTTATTCCTGACTCAGTTACTCCCCCTGTCTCCTCTTCCTTACTTCGCTTCTGGTCAGGCGAAATCGACGCAGTTAGGGTGCCTGCCTCGCAATCCTATACAGTACTTTGTTACTTGGGACTTCGGTTCTGTAGAACTCCGTGGGGCTTCCTTCTAAGTAGAAAGGCACAGGATTGCATTATGAGTCATTTATAAATGACCTTACAACACAGCTACTCATCCGGGCTCATCTGGAAGCTCCTATCTTTAACAATAGGTGCGTTAGGAAGTCATGTAATACCACATTTCCGCTTCCCGCAATAAGAACTGCAATTTCTGTTTGTGCAATTCACACGTTTTTAACCATCAAAACGCAAAATGTATTCAGGTGACCTGTGGCGTAGTGTCATTTATAAATGACCTTACAACACAGCTACTCATCCGGGCTCATCTGGAAGCTCCTATCTTTAACAATAGGTGCGTTAGGAAGTCATGTAATACCACATTTCCGCTTCCCGCAATAAGAACTGCAATTTCTGTTTGTGCAATTCACACGTTTTTAACCATCAAAACGCAAAATGTATTCAGGTGACCTGTGGCGTAGTAGGAATGAACATTCAGGGTGTGCCGAATTGTTCTTGGTTTGCTAAAATGTCACAAAAATTATCAGTTTCCAAGTTCTTCAGAACTCTTAGGCTGTGGGTGATCACATTTCCGCTTCCCGCAATAAGAACTGCGATTTCTGTTTGTGCAATTCACACTTTTTTTTAACCATCAAAACGCAAAATGTATTTGGGTGACCTGTGGCGTAGCAGGAATGAACATTCAGGGTGTGCCGAATTGTTCTTGGTTTGCTAAAATGTCACAAAAATTATCAGTTTCCAAGTTCTTCAGAACTCTTAGGCTGTGGGTGATGCCAAATTTATGGGCCTGGGAAAGAAGCAAGAAGTCCAAAACTCTGGCTGTTGTCCATGCAAACGGACTGGAAGGACTTGGCTACACCCATTTGTGGTGGGTTAAATTTGGCTGCCCAGATCCTGAAGCTGAGGCTCCAATACTTTGGCCATCTCACGAGAAGAGAAGACGCCCTGGAAAAGACCCTGATGTTGAGAAAGTGTGAAGGCAAGAGGAGAAGGGGACGACAGAGGAAGAGATGGTTGGACAGTGTCATCAAAGCTACCAACATGATTTTGAGCAAACATCCGGGAGGCAGTGGAAGACAGGAGGGCCTGGCCTGCTCTGGTCCATGGGGTCACAACGCGTCGAGATGAGTAAACAACTAAACAACAACAACAAATTTGGCTGCTAGCAGGTCTGGTATGCCATTTGGAATAGAGGTTACAGGAGGGGTCAGAAAGGGCAGTCAGTCAAGAAAAGCAACCAACACCACCCTTCTTTCTCCTCGTGCTGTGGCCACTGTTCCACTTGCCCCTTTTTAAACAGCTAAGCCAAACTCCACACAGGCACACACAGACACACACACAGGCAGGCAGGTGCATGCATGTATACATGCACGCGCACACACACGCTCAGAGAGAGAGAGAGAGATGCACATGAGAACAGGAGAGCTTAGCTTTCCAAAGGCAGCCTCGTCATGCTGCCTTTGTAAATTAAATATTGCCACGAAGATAACTTGCCTATATCATGAAGCAATATAGGCAAATTAAGCCACTTCATGACACTGGCAAGCCAAAAGAAGAAGGCTTCCTTTGGTCCATTCGCAGTGATCACGCTCACTGGAGATGACCCAAAGGACACTGATTCTAACTGCACCAAGAAAACAGAAACCTCTTGATGGGCCAGAAAGCTGTAGATAGGGATGCTCGGGGGGTGGGTCAGTTCACTCTAGCACAGAGATCATCTGATTGCCATCTTTATGACTGCCTCAGTCCATGCAGCAGTCCAAACCGTGGGCTAAATTTCCATCTGATTGCACTCTCGCTTGCAGGAAGGAAATGACAGATTCAGTGAAGAAAGAAGGTATCAATACTTTGCATCTGAATTAGATTAGTTTACAGCTTCTTTCCTCTCTGTAGACCAAAGGCTTTCTGTAATCCTTTGTGAGATGCTCATTGTCATCTACTGTACATATATTAGTCCCAGCATTTTTGGTGTGTATTCAACATGCAGAGAAGCATAATCTCAGCTACCATGAATCTGAGCTTCCTGTGATTGTGACAGCCCAGATTCCTCCTGTCAAAAGCACGGGATTTAATGTAGATCCTCTCCCATTACTGGCTAGTTTGTAAATTACTGACTGAATTACCTGCTGCTAGATCCCAAGTCAATGACACTATAAATGTTTGTAGACACTGTATTTGTTCTCTTCGTGTTTTCTGTTGACCAAACATTGGCACTGCAAAAAAGGCCTTAGAATGAACCCTGATCCTCTACCACAAATTAAGATGTGTGGTCAAACTAAACCTCATGCTGTAATCTAGAATCAATTTAGAGCCACCATGTTAGGATTCCTGGGAAAGAAGAAGACACACTGAATGGATATACCCCTGGTGCTACACATGTTTATGTGAAAATAAGTCCTTTGGTGTTCATTAATGTTTATTCCCAAGTAAGTGGGGATGTAGTATAATCCTAAAAGCATTCCCTAGAGTAGCTTGAGGGACATAGATTATTCCCAAGTAAGTGGGGATGTAGTATAATCCTAAAAACATTCCCTAGAGTAGCTTGAGGAACATAGAAGCCTTCAGATGGTGCTAGACTGCAAGTCCCCTTGCCCTTCACCACTGAATATGCTGGCTAGGGCTGAGGGGAGTTGGAATCCAGTAACAGCTGGAGTACTACATGTTTCCCACCTCTGTCCCAGAGTATAATCCTGTCAGTAAGTGGGGATGTAGTATAATCCTAAAAACATTCCCTAGAGTAGCTTGAGGAACATAGAAGCCTTCAGATGGTGCTAGACTGCAAGTCCCCTTGCCCTTCACCACTGAATATGCTGGCTAGGGCTGAGGGGAGTTGGAATCCAGTAACAGCTGGAGTACTACATGTTTCCCACCTCTGTCCCAGAGTATAATCCTGTCAGATTCAGTAGGCTTTGCATTAGGACAAATGCCAAGACTGAACTGAACTCTAAAAGTTTATAGCCCGCAAACCTATGCTGGGAAGGAAATCCATTGACTTCTGTGGGATTTAGTTCTATAAAAACATATTTAGGACTGGATTGTTAAGGCTTAAATCACCTGCCACTGGCACATGCAAGATGGTGTTGTGGTTTCAGTGGCATTAAACTGGTTAATTTTTTTAAGTGCTCTGTGGCTCATTCTAGTGTTTATAGTCAGGAGAATAAAAAAAAAACCAAATATTCTGTAAACATGAGCTTGTAAAGGCCATCTCTAACAATTAAGATGTTGGTGAGTGCTGGTACAGTTGTCAAGTCAATTGGACTGGAGATGAGAGGGTTACCAAAATACAAGGTTCCTCAGCTTCTCTACTGCCAAATGCCCCCTGTGGTCATGTGGCTTGGATAGAAACTAAAAGATTGTGCTTGGAGGATGCCAGGTCAACAGACAGAGCATGCTCAGAAACCATGGAATGTTGAATGTCAATTGGGCTCCTGGGCCTGACTCCATCCTCTGCACATTGATGCAAAACACCAACTGTTGAGGAAAGTTCAGATGTGTTTCACAGCTTTAACTGTGCTGACTCTGTGCAGAGGTTGGATCAGTTTCTAGAGGGTGGAGAAACTACACACAATGCAACTTACCATCTCCACACATGTATGACAGTGAGAGCAATGCCAGGAAAGAGACTGTTTACTTTCCAAAAGTGAACTTAGTGGACAAGTCAAGTATGTGAGACCAGTCCAATCTAGGAATATGTTGAGGCCAGCAATATGTATTTAAATTATTTTATAAACCAGACTTGTAAGGTGCCTACATGGGCATTTAGGGCTTCTACTTTTTTTGGTGCAGGTAGGACTGCTCCATTTTGGTTCATTTCCAGACTGTGTAATTGCTGGAAATGAACCAAAGCAGGCGTTCCTCTTTGAATTTGACATATCATAAAGTGACTTAGGAAGAAAACCACTTTATGATATTGACAAATTAAACATTTTCTTGGCTTTGTGGAAAGGCAGAGGAAGTGATTTTTTAAAGTATATTAGGGCAGTGCAGATGCAGTGCATTACTTTTTTAAAAAATACAAATGGAAAACTTCTTCCTAGAAGTAGGATGGGGCAACAATTTGCCTGCAGGCAGGTTCTTGATTAGTCTTTTAAGAGCTAACAAAAATTCCCCTTTTTGGCCCTCCATACTTCCAAGAGGGAGTTTTCCATTTGTCTTTTTTTTTAAGTTATGCACTGCATCTGCCCTGCCCTTCTACACTTTAAAAATGTTCACTTCCTCTGCCCCTCCATGGAGCCAAGGAAATGTTTAATTTGCCAATATCCTGAAGTGGTTCTCTTATTGCACCACTTAACAATATTAGCAAATTGACAGCAAGCTGGTGTGGACCAAGAAAGGTTGCTCAAAGTCTGTATGTCATTTTATGTCATTTCGATGTTAAAATTGCACCAAATGGCATACCCTCCTAGTGTCCTATTTAGCCTCCTCCAAAGAAATAGTGTAACAAGCATTCAGGTAGTAAGATACCAGCTAGTTTGCATAGTGGAAACAAAAGTGGCCATGTTAGATTGGATTCCAAATATTCTAAGTGCTCTATGATTTACAGCTTTAATCTGTTATTTAAGATTCTACTTTATTCATTAGGAGACGCTACTGACTTTAATGAAGTTAGCCCAAATGTTTTGTACTAGTCTAAATGAGAACAGAGTACAGTTTAGAGAACTTTAATTAAATCATAAACAGCAGAATCCTTTGGC